CTTCTTGCCCTTCTCTACTGTTTCTCTGTGTTGTTCCCCTACCCCAGTGATTCTTGACTATATGCATTTATTTCCACTAAATTTAGTTTCACAGATCATAGACCTTGGGTGACCAGATTGGCACTGAAGAACATTTGTTTATGGATCACAAGACAAACAAGGATTTTGTCTGTGGTGCACATGATAATGGGTATGAACATTTTCTTCATTCTACTAATTGCTTGAGTTGTGGGACAATAGATGCACAGTAAGTGGATACTTATGTATTTCTGCATCTATTTCACATAGCATTGGTGTGTTGGTTATTAGACGCTACCTTTGAATATTCTCACAGAAAAAAATATAATTTTGTATCAGCTGCATTTGAGTAACTTGAGTAATTACTTGAGTAATTCAGAGAAGCTATGGGCTGTGCCGTGCAGGGACACCCAAGACGGACAAAGTCATAGTGAAGAGTTCTGACTAAACACGATCCACCTGGAACAGGAACTGGCAAGCCACTCCAGTATCTTTGTCAAGAAAACCTCATGAACAGAAACAAAAGGCTAAAAGATATGATGCTAGAAGATGAGCCCCTCAGGCCAGAAGGTGCCCAACATGAGGAAGAGCGGAGAACAAGTACAAGTAGCTCCGGAGCTAATGAAGTGGTTGGGGCAAAGCCGAAACGACGCTCAGCTGCGGACGTGCCTGGAAGCGAAAGGAAAGTCCAATGCTGCAAAGAAAAATACTGCATAAGAACCTGGAATGTAAGATCTATAAATCTTGCTAAACTGGATGTGGTCAAACAGGAGATGGCAAGAATCAACATTGACATCCTGGGCATCAGTGAACTAAAATGGACAGGAATGGGCAAATTCAGCTCAGATGATTATCATATCTATTATTGTGGGCAAGAATCCTATAGAAGAAATGGTCCACAAAAGAGTGGGGAAAGCTGTACTGGGATACAATCTCAAAAATGATAGAATGATTTCAATACGAATCCAAGGCAGACCTTGCAACATCACAGAATTCCAAGTTTATGCACCAACCACCAATGCTGAAGAGGCTGAAATCCACCAATTCTATAAAGATTTACAACACCTTCTAGAACTGACACCAAAGAAAGATGTTCTTCTCATTATAGGGGACTGGAATGCTAAAGTAGGGAGTCAAGAGATAAAAGGAACAACAGGTAAGTTGAGCCTTGGAGTTCAAAACGAAGCAGGGCAAAGGCTAATAGAGTTTTGTCAAGAGAACAAGCTGGTCATCACGAACACTCTTTTCCAACAACACAAGAGGTGACTCTACACATGGACATCACTAGATGGGCAATACCGAAATCAGATTGATTATGTTCTCTGCAGTCAAAAATGGAGAAGCTCTATGATTGTGGCTCTGATCATCAGCTTCTTATAGCAAAACTCAAGGTTAAACTGAAGAAAGTAGGAAAAACCCACTGAGCTAGTCAGGTATAATCTAAAACAATCCCTTATGAATACACAGTGGAAGTGAAGAAGAGTAGGGACCTCACAAAAGCAGAAGACATCAAGAAGAGGTGGCAAGAATACACAGAGGAATTATACCAGAAAAATCTGGATATCCCGGACAACCCAGATAATGTGGTTGCTGACCTTGAGCCAGACATCCTGGAGAGTGAAGTCAAGTGGGCCTTAGAAAGCCTGGCTAACAAGGCCAGTGGAGGTGATAGCATTCAGTTGAACTATTTAAACCTTAAAAGATGATGCTGTTAAGGTGCTACACTCAATATGCCAACAAGCTTGGAAAACTCAGCACTGGCCAGAGGATTGAAAAAGATCAGTCTACATCCCAATCCCAAAGAAGAGCAGTGCCAAAGAATGCTCCAGCTACCATACAATTGCACTCATTTCACACGCTAGCAAGGTTATGCTCAAAATCGTACAAGGTGGGCTTCAGCAGTATGTGGACCGAGAACTCCCAGAAGTAGAAGCTGGATTTCGAAGGGGCAGAGGGACTAGAGACCAAATTGCTAACATGCAGTGGATTATGGAGAAAGCCAGAGAGTTCCAGAAAAACCTCTACTTCTGCTTCATTGACTATGCAAAAAACTTTGACTGTGTGGAGCACAGCAAACTATGGCAAGTTCTTAAAGAAATGGGAGTGCCTGACCACCTTGTCTATCTCCTGAGAAACCTATATGTGGAACAGGAAGCAACAGTTGGAACTGGATATGGGACAACTGATTTGTTCAAAATTGGGAAAGAAGTACAAGGCTGTATATTGTCCCCCGGCTTATTTAACTTATATGCGGAATACATCATGCGAAAGGCTGGACTGGAGGAATCCCAAACCGAAATTAAGATTGCTGAAAGAAATATCGACAACCTCTGATATGCAGATGATACCACTCTGATGGCAGAAAGTGAGGAGGAATTAAAGAACCTCTTAATGAGTGTGAAAGAGAGCATAAAAATGGTCTGAAGCTCAACATAAAACAAACTAAGATCATGGCCACTGGTTCCATCACCTCCTGGCAAATAAAAGGGGAAGATATGGAGGCAGTGACAGATTTTACCTTCTTGGGCTGCATGATCACTGCAGATGATGAAAGCAGCCACAAAATTAAAAAGACGCCTGCTTCTTGGGAGGAAAGTGATGACAAACCTAGACAGCATCTTAAAAAGCAACAAAAGTCTGCATAGTCAAAGCTATGGTTTTTCCAGTAGTGTAATATGGAAGTTAGAGCTGGACCATAAAGAAGGCTGAACGACAACAAATTGATGCTTTTGAATTGTGATGTTGGAGACTCTCGAGAGTCCCCTGGACTGCAAGAACAAACCTATCTGTTATGAAGGAAATCAACCCTGAGTGCTCACTGGAAGGACAGATCCTGAAGCTGAGGCTCCAATACTTTGGCCATCTCATGAGAAGATTCCCTGGAAAAGCCCTTGATGTTGGGAAAGTGTTAGGGCAAGAGAAGGGGACGATAGATGACGAAATGGTTGGACAGTGTCATCGAAGCTACCAACATGAATTTGACCCAACTCCAGGAGGCAGTGGAAGATAGGAGGGCCTGGCGTGCTCTGGTCCATGGGGTCACGAAGAATCGGACACGATTTATCTACTAAACAACAACAATCAATTGTTCTTATTACAGAGGCACTATTCAGATCATTTAGTGAAATTTAATTTATGTAATGATGTAATAATCTGCCTGAGGACATTCCCTGATTAATTCTTGAACTAATCCTTTTCCCTGCCAGGAACAAAGATCATATCCTTGTCCAAATTATTGAGATCTGGTGCAAAATCTGGACAAAACAGGATATTTTTTCTATGCCTGCTGCAGTTTTGTCTGTGTGAAATGAACCCAAGAATTGCCTAATGTACACAAGTTCCCATCCTCACTTTGTTCCCCAGATCTTACACCTAGTGACATTCGTTCCATGCCGGAAACATGTTGTTTCATCTGCTCTGATTGAAAAACCCATGGAACTGTTAGCCTTTCACAACAGTCTCTCCTCAAAATATGATCACATAAATGTATTAACTTGTTCTCTATTCTTGAAGATGCACACTGAACATTGCCTAGTTTTTGAATGCTTTTTTACAAGTTCATCCCCAGCCTCAACAATATACTCTAAAAAGTCTGTCATGTTCTCTGGTCTTCCTTTTACTGAGAAATGTCATGTGACCCACAATATATGACAGTTGAAATCATGGAGCACATTGACATTCCTTTGTAGCTTTTGCATCTTATTGTTACTTAACATGGTTTTCCTCTTCATAACAAAAGGAGTTAGAAGCATCTGCATGTGAACCAGAAGACCATCTACTTTTTGACTGTTCTCTTGCAGGATCACTGAAGTCTTTATATTTGGTGTATGCTTTAATAAATATTTCTTGCATGCCCTGCATTACTGGCTGGGGAAATAAACAGCAGCAGTAGCATACACTCTCTTTCAAATCAGCAGGATATCTTAACCATAGAGAACATTCAGAAAGCCATGCATGTTGAAATGCTTTGGGGCCCACACTCTTATACCTAAAGTTATAACTGTCTGTGGGGCTCTAGCCTTTGGTAAGTAGCTCAAATGTTATAACATTGGATAGAGAAAAGTTAGCTTTTAATAGTTTCCTTGTTCAACTTTTGCTGTAATTTTTGTTTAAATGACCATATATAGAATCAGTAATTTGTGCTGCATACGATTCCCACTGACACAACTCAAATTGTCTATACAGCACTGCTAAAAGCTTTTGAATATTATTGTTTTCAAGTCGTGGTACTTAATTTCTGATTCCTAATTCAGCCTGTTCCCTCGCATCCCAGACTACAAGTTACTCAGGTACCGCCTTGTAGTACATATATTCCAAGGACCATCTTCGGAAAAAGGGGGATGCAAATGTCTCTTCTTCAGAAGAGTTGTGTCCATGCAGAGATGGCCGGGACTGAGCCATTATATAAAGTTTAATTTATTTTTCAGCATAAAGAGACAGACAAATATTTAAGTATTTACAAATACACACAAGAGACAGGATTTGAGAATAAGAAAAGTGTGACTAGCAATCAGGATATGAAAGGAGATAGTGACATTACCATTTCAGCAATTAGAAAGAGTTACAAGAACTGTTACATCCAGGGCATTCAGAAAGGATTGAAACTAGGTTATCAAATGTTTCGAACTGGAAATTTTGTCCAAGACATTTAATATCCATTGTTCATTATTGCATCCAGTGCAGGAAGTTCTGAAGATGTTTTTTAAAGACATAAAGAGTACATTAAAACAAAACCTCATCCCTTAGAACAGATTTATTTTACCCTCCCCTCAAATTACTGAAATTCCATTGTCAATCTATTTGCCAAAAGGACAAGCTAGTCTGCTAATCTCCCCACCCCAAAACTAAGTAAGTCATATATGATTTAAAATTTATGCTGAATATCCTTTTTAAAAGGGTAGATCAAGACATGAATTTCTTTAAAATTCAGCTTTTAAAATATAACCATGGAAACAATTTCCAAGATAAATCTTTTTTTAAAAAAAAAATCTGTTATAATGAACCTATAGTTTCATATTTCTTTTTGGCTCATAAATCAGGCCATATACTAGCACAACTTTTTGACATAGAAATTACAGCCTCCGTAAATTATGTTTGCTTTTTTTGGTACCAGGAAGGGGTCCTGATGTAGAGGGTGGTTTCACAGACTTTCCACTTGCACAGTCTTTGGCAGTATGGTAGGTGCATAAGCACTTAGTGCAAAAGTCAAAACTGCAGCCTTCACGGATGCATGTTGCTCTTTGGAGATTGGGATCGTACTTTGCAGGGGAACCACAGCGATGGCAAGCTTTCAGGCTTTCAGTGTTTTTCAAAGTCTTTGCAACCTGTCCAAAGAAAACAGCAACAAGCACATTTATTCTTGGATCAAGTCACACCTGATGGAACACATTACTTTATCAGCTTGTTTACCTATCTATAAAGAAACTTAGCATTGCAAAATTTGCATAAGCTTAATTGTTGTTTAATATGGGACCAGTACAGCAGGAAATTGTGCTAATAATGCAGGAGTACCTGGACTGCCGGAAACCAATCAGAATTAGAAGTATTAGTTACCTCAGAAAACATTATGTGTCGACTGAAAGAGGAAGAACTCCGGCTACTCTGGCTGTTTGCCTTCACTGTGGATGATTTTTTTGAAAAGCTGGCTGATACAGTTGCTACCTTCTGGATATGACTTAACACTTCTCTGTGAAGAACATATTCCCTTGTATCAACTTCTCTGGAACACAATGCTTTGTTGTTCTGCGAAGGTAAAATAAGATTTGCATTAATTGAGTTTGCTTTTAAATTAATAGTAAGATAGATTATAGAATGCTATGATATGCTCACACTCTTGGAACATACAAGCCCAACTCTTCAGAAAGTAAGGCTCTCAAAAACAATTGATGAATGTAGGAATTTGATTTTCATAACAACAATGTTATGTATAGAACTGAAGAATTAGTGTGTTAGGAGAAATCCAAGGAGGGGGAAAAATCAATATTCAAAGTAAAAGCAATTTCCCATCTTAGCAATTATAAACATGGAACAATGCCAGAATCTGACAACTGATTATTGTTCAGCCAACAGTGGAGCAACACCGGGATGGTGGGGTATGGGGCATAAAATAATAATTTGAAATACTGTAAAGGCAGGTCTTATTTTATCAAATGTTAATATATTCTATTGCTTTAGCAACTTAAAATGCATCCCTTAAAACTTAGCTAGCTTATAAAACAACACAATTTGGCATATTTATAAAGCTTACCAGAGTAAGTTTTACTGCTTTGTTGTACATCTGGAAAGCCCACTTGTCGTCCTGTATAATTTTTTTCCATGTTGTGCTCACTTTAGCCATGCTGTTAAAACAAATCAAGTTATGTTCAGAAAGTAATATCAAATCTCATTGTTTAGCAAAACAGAATTTTACTTTGTAAATTAAATGAATAATTTCAAAAGGATGTTTGTAGATCTGCTAGGCTAGAACACAGGCTAGCCTAAGAAATCTACAAATGTCTTTAATCATTATACATGAATGTGCACTTTCTTCCCTTTCACCCTCTTGTTTGGGCTTATCTTAGAAATGCCTCCTTAAAGACAAGCAATGTGCAGGTTTGAGAAGAATCTGCCATGTGCTTTATACTGGATTCAATTGTCTGTTGTCAGAAAGGTTTGGACTAAAATTCATAATGTATAGTATATGCTGTGCTTTACAGTATTGAGTTTCTGCACATGCTGCATGAACAATTAGCACCCAAATAAATAAGGTCCTCCAACATAGCTTCATTTTCTTCATGAGGTAATTTTACATGATTAACAAAAAGGGAAAAAGGTCACTCGAGCATGACAAAAATCCTCAAGAGTTAATACACTTTAGAATATATACTTTTTTCAAAGCAGAAATTATTTACTCACTTTATCAAGTCCATGTAATCAAGATGCTTTAAGATAGCTGCTAAAAGATGCCTGAATTTCCCATGGAACAGTTCACCAAGAATGTCCAACTTATCTAGTCCCATTTTTTTGCCAATTAGATTCATAAATTCCATACTTTGCTTGGAAGCCATCTTATCTAAGACTAGAGCCCATGACTTTAGATTTCTTCTACTAGTTTTTTTCAAAGTTGAACAGATAAGTTCTTCAAAATGGAGGACTGGAAGCAAATTTTTTTTCTGGCTGAAAGTGTGATTTGGTGTATTACTAATATTTCCTGCCAATAGTATAGTGTCCTCATGTTCACTTGGTTCCTGCTGATTGCCCAATAAAGAAGAGTATCCACTATCCTCATTTGTGTTATCAATTTCATTGGCTCTCTCAGGATCCCTCCATGGCACCTGTTGGTTTTCTTTGTTATGTATAGGCTTCTCTTCACTTTTGATGCTGCCATTTTTGTAGCTTTCATGGTGCAGGGTGCTATACAACAATCTCTCTTTAATACAGTCTTTACAAAACTCTTCATCGTAATTAGCAGTAGAGAACGCTTCTGGTCTTGTCTCTGTTTCAGCAGGTTTTAATGGTGAAAGTCCACAATGAACATGGTAACAATTAATATCACGTTTCATTTTCAGAGGCTAGGGTTGATTCTTAAATATTTTCTGATTTGTACCCTGAAACAAGGAGAAGATATACAGATGTTAGCCTTGAAATAATATAGCAATTGCCAAAGAAGGCAAGGTACTATATTCTGAGATCAAAACTTTAGGTTTTGCTATGCACAGAAGGGCAATCACTCAAGCATTTTTCTGCATTTTGCCATCTGTCACACTCGTCACATGAACGACTGTATAATAAAGGCATGGTTGCCTGCACATCTGATAGCTGACAACATAGCTTATATCCCCCGTGTGTTACTCTTGTATTACTCTACTGTGATCACATAACCCAACAGAATTATGGCCTAATGGTTTAACCATTTTTGGTTCCCCACCCAGCTACCACAGAAGCATTGCTGTTGGACAGTAAGCAATTACATAAAAAGGGCCTCAAGTCTCCCAGAGCCCTGTTCTACCTCCTGTAGGTAGAACAGTCTCCATCAAGCATCACAAAATGGATCCCTGAGCACATGCACTGTAATGAATCAGTACTAAACCAGGCAGTCCTATATAAGGTATGTGTTGGAATTGACTGGACAGCATATTGATTGTTATTATAGATTAATATCCTGCTAGGTTAAAATCATTATCATTAGAAATTCATATGCAAACAATAAATGATCACCAAAGTAACCATACAGTGGTGCCCTGCATGACAACGATAATCCATTCCAGGAAAATCACTGTTAAGCGTCATGCGAAAAACAATTCCCCATTGGAATACATTGAAACCCATTTAATGCGTTCCAATGGGGAAATTACCTCATTGTCCAGTGAAGATCACCCATAGGGGAAGCCATTTTCCAAGCGCCGATCAGCTGTTAAAATGGCTGCCCTGCGAAGCATGGGTCTGGAAAAGACAGGGCAGCCATTTTGCGCAGCCGGTAAAATCGTCGTTTTGCAAACAAACGGTTCGCAAAGCAAGGACCTAATCGTACTCAAACGAAAATCCTCCATAGGAAACATCATTTTGCAATCGCTAT